ATATGGTGCGGGAAGTCTTAACTCAAAAATAAAATAGGGTATTTTTAAAATTTATCACAGCTTTATAAAAATGGATTTTGAAAAAATAAACTGGTAATATTGTTCTTTAAAGTAAGCTCTTTCAAACTACCGGTCAGAATTTTCAAATAACTTCAATATAAAAAGTTATAATGATTTAAATTTTTATATTTTTGAGTATTTTATTATATTTATTCAAAAATTGAAACAAAATTATCATGTGACTATTATTTAATTGGTCAATTTTTGTAAATTTTTATTGGCTGTAATATTTTATTGATTAATAAATTATTTTACGTAAGTAATAATTAAAAACTATGTTAATTTAATTGATATTTATAAATAGATTATTTTTTTATTGGTTTAAAATTATATGAAACTAACTACAGACTGCAAAGGATGTCGCCCCATACAAAATGACAAAAACAAGTAAGAAATTTGCCAAGAAAGAGAGGTCAATATGTTTCTCAAAAGAAATATGAATTTGCTGCAGAAAAAACCATTGATATCAATAATAAGGAATATCAAATTGTTTCAGAAATAACTACTAGCATCACTAACTCTTTTGATGAAAAAGATACTATAGAAATCACTACTAATACTCAAGAAGTTTTCGAAGAATGGAATTTAGAAGAGTTTGAAGAAGTAGAGAAAAGATTTCTTAATTGGCATAATAATGCTGGAAGTAACCTTAGAACCATATATACTGGAACCTCAAGAACAACGTTATGGAGAAAAGATAAAGAAAAAAAAAAGCATGAAGAACATGTTAAAGAAATAAAAACAATTAATATGTTTTTTCAACCTGTGCAAACTATTTTATCTACACAACATTCTCGCTTATCTTTATTACATATCCGTTTGGAAGAACTCAATCAACAATGTTCAATAGGAAAATCCATGAAAGAAAATAATAAAATCTTTACGTATGATTATTTACGCCTTCTCAGTATTCGTCAATTCATACAATTGTTATTAGATGGACAATCCAAGATGAATATCAGTCGTCAAATTGCACAAACAATATGGTGTAAAGGAGATTACATGGCTATGTGTATTCGAAAGTGGGGAAGTCATTTTATACAGACTGGAACACTTCAAACTCATTATCAAGGAAAATACACAAAGCTCAAAAGTTTATTAGACGATGAAGATTTTACTGAAAATTGCAAAGCTTGGCTTCAACAACAAAAACCAGAAGTACGTTCTCCAAAAAATTTAAAAACATATATTGAAGATACATTATTTCCAAAATCAACAGGTAATATTAAAAAAGATACTATTTCTGAAAAAACATGTCGGAATTATATGCATTCTTGGGGTACAAGTATGATGAAAAAAAAAAAAGTATTTATTACAATGGGCATGAGCGATCTGATGTAGTGGCATATAGAAAAGAATGGTTGGAACGAATGTTTATATATAAAAAAAGTATGAAAGATTTCGATGGTGATGCATTGGACACTATAATAGAACCCCAGCTCAAGCCAGGAAAAAAAGAATTTGTTCAAGTAACACATGACGAATGTCACTTCTATCCAAATGATAGTCAACGGAGAGTCTGGATTCAAGAAGAAGAGAATATCTTGCGCTCAAAACACTTGGGACGCTCCATTATGGTTTCAGCTTTTTTATGTCCATGTCATGGTTTATTACGATTATCTGAGCAACAATTGCAAGCCAATTCACATATTGAACATCAAGAATCTTTTGTTCTTCGTTCTATTCAAGAAGATGGATACTGGAAGTCGGAGCATATGTTAGATCAGGTTTGAACTTTTTTTTTATTTGATATTTTTTAAATTTTAAGCTAAAATTAATTGTTTTTATAAATAAAGCTCGTGCGCCAAGCAATACCAATATTTGAGATACTACACCCTGGATGTATTGGAATTTTTTGTTTCGATCAATCCACTAATCACAATGCTATGGCAGCAGATGCACTAATCGTGACGAAAATGAATTTAAGTCCTGGAGGTACACAACCTAAGATGCGTGACGGTTGGTATGTTGACGAAAATGGAGAAAGACATGTACAATCAATGCTATTTCCTGATAATTATCCGATTGAAAAACTAAAAGGTCAACCCAAAGGCATTAAGCAAGTACTTATGGAATGTAATCTTTGGCCATCAAAGAAAATTCATTTGGTGTGTAAAGAATGCTTAGAGAAACATGATGATCCAATAAGATTGAATTGTTGTGCGCAAAAAATTTTGTCATCTCAACCTGATTTTTGTGAACAACAATCAATATTGCATGAAGCAATTGTAAATGCAGGACATATCTTTGAACGTTATCCAAAATTCCATTGTGAATGCAATTTTATAGAACGATACTGGGGATTTTTAAAGCGGGAAACCAGACGCCTATGTAACTATAATTATACACATTTATTGAACCAAATTCCTGAAATTCTTAATAGTGTGCCTATAACCACAATTCGCAAATTTGCATGTAAGTCATGGAGATATATGGATGCATATAATAAAGGGTTGGAGGGTAGAGTTGCTGAGTGGGCTGTAAGTAAATTTAAATCACATAGGCGATTACCAGAAAATATTGAGAAAATAATAGAAATTGAGTATAGGGAAATAAACATGGAAAAATAAAAAAATGAATAAATATTGATTATTAATAATAGTGAAACGAACATGAGGAGGAAAGATAATGAATAAATATATAGCAATGTCTTATTGTTAATTATACTGTAATATGTTAATTTATATTTTAATAATAAATTTAATTCAATCGATACATCGATAATTAATTAATTATTTATTATGATTTAATTAATGAATAAAATCGTTACAAATTTTTTTTAAGAAAGTTAAATAACACAAAATTATATGATATTCTTTCCCTATTTTTTGTTATTACTAATTTACATCGCCATTTCATCGATCGGATTAATTCTTTTATGTGGACTCAGGAACATTTTGCCATTTTTTGCCTATAAACTGTATTAATTCGTCACAATTCTTGGCATTCGCTTCTCTATATTCACCTTAACAATCTCTCCCAAATTTTCTATCGAATTTAAATTCGGGTTATTAGATAACCACATCATAAATGTTTTTGAATAGTAGTGTAAATAACACTTACCTCTTTTTAACAACTTCTTGGTCAAAACTCTTGAAGACAGTAAAGAATCCCACCGAAGATATTGTTCTAATGTTTTAGAAATATTGTTGACGATCTTTCTTAGTCATTCATTGTTCGATCTTTCTTGTGATTTTTAATTTTTTAAGGTTTCTGTAGATAGTAGCGATAGGTATGTTGGTCCATAGGTGTATTTCCCTAGCTTCGCGCACATTTTGCCTTCACAAATGTAATATGGACTGGTGTTGTATTTCTTTTTTAGAAGTTGGCATTAGGTTATAATATTTTTTCAGGAAACAATTAAAAAAGTAATCAAATAATAACGAAAACCTGATTGTCTATCTTGTACTTACCTTAAAATAATATTTCGTTACATTTCAGGTGTGGTTTGCACCAGTGCACTCGATGGCGTCAGGAGAATAGAGTGCTTTTACGTGTTCTTTATTTTCGGATAGCAAGAGGTCTGGATATTCAATTAAAGATGCGACCTGTTCGCAATTTTCGCAATAATAAAAATAATAATCCGTAAGATCCTTCTTGTTACTTCAAAAAATTACAATCAATTCTCGCACCTGCTTACTTGACGAAAAAATGTGATTGGCTGTTGCAATAGTTGCTGCGGATTTCCAATGTTGCAACCGATAACAGCATCAAAACCTAAATCCTCTTTTTTCCCAAGTCATTCTTTGTTTCCTCTGCACAAATCACCAATTCACCACGAACAGTATACTCTACCTTCTTGACATGAAGGTTTATACTGTCATACGTAAGAATTTTAGAACAAGTGGATTCTGCGAATTTAAAAATCAAAAAACGTTAGCAAAGAATAGATATCGCTCCGAGTTCAGAAATTACAAAACAAACCAGAACCAAAAAAACCTG